GAGCAGGAAGCAGTTCAAGTCGTTGCCTTTAATTAGTAAAACAATTTATACGAAGCCGTTCGGCAAATGGTGGGCAGCTGAGCTGAAACTTTGGAGCTCTGCTGCCTGCAATTTTGTATCTGTGGCGTTATTGTCGTCGCCGTCTGAAAGATGTGGGTGTTGGTGGTGCTGGTGGTGCGAGAGACCTTAGCGCAGCCAGGACCACGGCTTGTACCAGTGGCGTCGGCGTGGCTCCTTGCTGCCAGTTTTGAGCGCTTCCACGCCCACAATTTGGGGCGGCACCACTGGCAACGCGTGCAGCGGCGGCTGCTCCTGCTTGTGCTCCTGCGGCCGGTGCTTGTGCCGAGCGGCATCCTGCTCCTGCTTCTGCTGGGCCAACTGATCGATGTGCTCCTGGGTGGCCGCGCTCACGCACTGCCTGTAGTCCTCCATGGCGACGAAGCACTTGTACGACTCACGTCGATGCTGCTCCAGGCAGCGCTGCACCTGCGACGCGAACGCCGTGCAGGGCATGTGGGCCTCGCGATTGAAGTGCCGCTGTGTGTGGTCCACCAGGCGATCGAACTCCTGGCAAATGGCCTCCGGCGACCTGGCTTAGGTAAATGGAAATCAATATGACTCTCTCTCTCTCTCTCTCTCTCTCTGTCTCTCTCTGTACTCACATGCGCTGTATGTCCTCAATGGCGCTGAGCACGCTGCCCTTCTTCGGCTTGGACGACACCGCTTTGCCCTTGGGCTTCGCCTTGGGCTTGTTGGCGCTCGGCTCTGCGCTAGCCTTGTTTGCGTCTCCCATGGATCCTATTTTCCGTACTCTACTGCAGCTCCCGCTATGGCCAAAAATCTGTTCCTAAAAATGATCTGTGTGATTTTGTTTTGAGATTCAGTTCATGTATGTGTTTGTCTACAAAAACCTATACAAAGTGAAGTTGTTTTTCTCTCTCTCTCTCTCACTCTCTCTAGCTCGACGTAAAACTCCACACACCCAGGGCGTACAGGGGCTCACCACATTCGGATGCCAACGATCTGGCCTTGTATCGAGGTGCCTCTCAGTCTCTCAGTGTCTGCTCATTCAGATGGTAGAGCATGAAGTTTCCAGTGAGAAAAGTTGTTCGAGTCGGCCGGCCAGCATGGAGAACTATACCTGAGACATTCAAATAAATTGCCAGGGGCAAAAGCAGCGAAAACTTTGTGCATCTCATCAAAGTACGTTAATAAGCTTAAAATAAAAAGCATTTCATCATAATTGGAGTCAAATTTCGCAGGTAAGAGCCTCTGGGCACGCCCTGCCCTCGTCCACTCCCTGCGTGTCTCCCTCATGTGTCTCCGTCAAATTATGCGATTTAGGCAGACTTTTCAGTTTTCATTTTATTATCAAATTTGGAATTCGGAATTTGTTTTAATTGCGCGTTTAGGCGCAAAGTTTCGCCAACATCTTTGGCTTTGTGTTCGCCGTGTCAATTGCAGGCTGCACTTTATCATATGCCAGTAGGAGGAGCCCTACCTGAGACTGAGACAGAGACAGGGAGAGAGGGGGCGAGAGCGAGAGTGAGCTGTGGGAGCGACTGAAGCGTCTGGATACAAACTTCGAACATAAAAGAAACTCAAGAAGTTGTTTTGCGGTTTGTTCGGCTGCCGGGAATTTCGTTATTGGAATTTTCATTGGCCACAAAAATACTTTTTCGATTAAACTTTAACGGCGCGTGAAATGCCCGGAAAATGTGTAGCTAAAGATGCCCGCCTCACCTCCCCGCCTGCCTCGACCACAGCCCACAGCCCACTGCTCACAGCCTTATCCGAAATCCAAAAACAGAGACCGCATGCCGCAAATCAGAAATTGATTAATTACAAAAACTAAAAGGAAGCAACTGAAGACGGTCCTCGTCCGCCGGACAAATGCCAATTAGTGCAAAATATTTCAGGTCACCACTAATGGATATCAATTCGTAACGCCCTCCGGCCTGCGCCCGACAAAGAGCAACAACAACAACAACAACAAAGGCAAAAAAATATATCAAAGGGCGCACTCAGCTGTCCTCGCATGCCAATTCCGAATGCGATACCAAACGGCGAAAATATCGGCAACAGAAACTCGTTAACAGCCAGCGACAGCGACCCGAATTTCCGAGACCCCCGAGCAACCAGGGGTGCCTCCCAACCCACTCCACTCTCCCCCCTCACTATCCCCCTCTTGTCGAGCTTATGCTTGTTTCAGATCCTGCAATTGGCAGCTGAGAGCCCGAAGCATTCGATATTAAGCCCAAAAATTGGAATGAAACTGAAACTACGCACAGCTTCCGCTCTATGCCATTTCCAGCTTTCCCTATTTGGAAACCCTCAAACTGAGCTGTAATTGCAATGGGTACGTCCGAAGTCAACATCCACTATGGATGCGAGTTTGGGCTTTAGGCTTTGAGGTTTTCAGATTGAACGTAGCTGGAATACAGCAATACGAAATGGGACGATGTGGCTGACGATGGACTGAAGTAACTGTTTTACTAAACAAGATTATTGTATTGTGCTCCCGTCGAAACCGGCCGTCCACGAGATCTTCCTAATTGAATAACTTTTTGTCTAAATGGATTAGAATTACAATACATAGTAATGATATTCATATGTGTACATATGTATGTTAGCCAAGGCTGAAGTCGCTCTCTAGTATTTGATATATTTTTTGAAAATGTGGGATCACACTTTGAGGAAGATCACTGAGGCTCCGTGGTACATAAGAACCAGAAATATTGAACGCAACCTCAAAGTTACCAAAATCAGTGACAAAATTCAAGACGTAGACAAAAATATCTTAAAAGGCTGGACTTCCATCCAAATAAATTGGCCGAACTGGTATGGGGAGGAGACTGAAACGCCATCACCCTCAAGACCTGCTGGATCGGAACACTTGTACACCTGAAAAGCCCACCAAATATTTGTCATTTTATAATATATACATAAAATATAAGTATCCTAGATTGCAGCTTTTAGTATGTAAATTAGTTAACATTTCTGTTTAGATTAAGTTGCAAAAATAAAGGATTATATATATTCGCTATTTTATAATTTCGCTAAAAAAAAAATGGGGAAAAAAAATTTGAGAGAAAAAATAATTTGGCAGAATGTGGAGGAACATAAAAAATATACAAAATCGGTATATATAAAATTAAAATAAATTAGTTTTCATATTTCAGATCTCCAGCTTCAGCGGCTTAACTACATAGAGGGATAGAAAGACAAGTGAAGATGTCTCTAACAACTCAGCTCATCGTCCTGACAATATACCCATTACTGTAATCCTATATATGTGATAATATAGTTAACTGTACATACCGCCTATTATATACCGCCCATTATAAATGCAAATCGCAGTCATGCTCCAATGCAAATAAACAAAAGATATATACATACAGTCTACTAAACTAGAACATCAAGCATGTGAGAATTACAAAATAACTTCAGTATATTAGTATTTTTAGTATTTTTAATCATTCAATTAAAAGTCGGGTCAAAATGACGTGTATATTAGGAATTCAAGTGACGCAATTTAGTAGGTTTCGACCAAAATAGAGTAGTTGAATGTGGGTAAGTACGCAATTCAAGTGGATGGTGTTTCTGGTGTTATGACAGAGAAAAGTTGTACGGAGTCATGCTAAATGTTAAATGTTGCATAGTTGAAAACAACAACAAAAAAATGTGAAATGAGTGAGTGTAATGAAATGTGTCGACACAGCAAAGTTGTAAATGAACAAAAATGAATTGGGGTGATGCGTATGGATGGAGGCATGCAAAGTGCGAAATCCGACATGGATCAGTGTTTACCTATAGATGGATGATCTCAGTGTGCTGCGGGCCTAGCGACGTCCCTGCGGACCGGAGAGACGGCGGCACTTCTCGTGGCGGCAGTTGTGCACATAGGGATTGAGCTGATGGCGGTGCCACCAGTGCAGTACGGGCGCCTTGCGCAGCTCCTGCTGGTAGTGCTCGAACTGTTCCAGCGTGATGTAGTTGCGCATGGGGCAGTGGGCGTCGTGATGGTAGTCGCACAGCTGATCGTAGATCCAGATGCGACGATTGCAGTAGCGCACGTTGTTGTTGTGCGACGGCGCAAACTTCAGGTACTTCTCGATCTCGGGAAAGTACAGCAGCCGTCCCATGCCACTGATGGCGCACTTCTGGCGCATCTGGAGCACCGCCTCCAGCGGAATGCTGTCGAAGCGCACACAGTTCATCAGCTGGTCGGTGTGGGAGCATCGCGACTTGTAGTCATGGGACAGCCAGATGATGACCGCGATGAGCACCTCCATCTCGGAGTTGACGCAAATGTACGGCGAGTTGAGCAGCGAGACGAGCGCATTGGGCCAGAGGTCGATGTACTCATCGGTGCCAATCAGGGTCAAGAAGTACTTGTGCACGCGCATCGTCTTGCGGAAGGGCATATAGAGGTTCATCTTGTGCAGCCCGAAGAACATGTGGAAGCCGATCTCCTCGCGTGCCGTATACGGATCGCTAAACTCGTCCATGAACTGATCGATCAGCACCTTAATCCTCAGGTACATGGCCGCCTTGAACACGCTCATCAGCATCGGCGGCAAGATGATCTGGTTCGGCTTGGCCATCCACTTGTAAATAGATATGAAGGCCTCCACGCTGACATCGCAGGCCGGCAGCCCATAGGCCATGCCGTGCTTGCCGCGGCAAAAGAAGTCCGTGTTTCTCTGCAGCAGCTCCAGGTCGCAGACCACCTCGGTGGTTCCGATTATTATGGTGACCGTGTATTTCGGCTTCGGATTCAAGCGGCGCACAACTGCCGCTGCCCGCTTCGCCTCGATTGCCCGGGCCCTGCGCTCCGCCGGCGTGGTCCGCTGGTTGTCCAAGTAGAGACGACGACACTCCTTGCCCTTCTTCACGATAATAAATTTCGAGTTCGGAATATGAATGTAGACCGACTGCTCGTTGCCTTCCGACTCCTCGGACGTATCATCAAAGTTGATAAAGTCATCGAAGAACATGATGCTTGAGCTTGCGATATTCAGTCTAATAGAGAAATATTTTTCATTCAATTGGTCCACAATACTCACGATTCGAAAAGGAAATTATAGGAATTTGAAACTTCTCGGCGAAAAAATGCGAATCGCACGCTGACAGCTTGAAAGACTCTTGCCGACTGACTTTAGGACGGAAGTTAGCTTGACTATCAGTGCTGCATAGGCAATTCGATTGGCCCAACGGTATTGAAAAACAATAGCATTAGCTTTCAGCTCGATGAATGGCAAACAACAGGAAACCGACAACATCGAGCGATTAAACTATTTCAGATTATTGCCATTTGTTCATGAGTTATGCCCGTGAATATTCGACACAGCATTATCCCAGTCTTGGTCCGATAGTCTGCAGTCTCTTGATGTTGCTCTAATATGGTCACCTATAAAATACCACAGTTGCCATACCTAAGCTTTGACAATTATATATCGATACTCCACTGCAGCCATCGATAGTTGCTTATTGAAAATTAATAAGCACACACACACACATACAGATTCATAACGTGATTGCATGAAAAATAGAGTTTTGGATAGTAAAAACTGTAACTAAAAAACTCTATAGGTTCCCTAAGCAAACAGAATAAAACTTAATAACTAAACAACATCAGGCTCGGTTCGATTTGAGGCAGTTCAGATTCCGTTTACAATCCAGTTCATGTTAATTTAGTTTTTAATTGAATTGAAGTAAACCCAGTAAATGGGTTATTGTCATTCGAAAGTACTTCAACTTGAAGGCGCACAGTCAATTGGTTTCTGCGCGCAGTTCCACGTCTGGCCTCAGCCTTCGTGTCAGGATCATGTTAGAGAATAAAGATTATAATCAACATGAAAATCAAGCGGCAAAACTTTGTGCAATCTCCCCAGTAAACCCATGGCACCGTCCTCCCTGTTCCCCCGGCTCCCTATGCCTTCCATGTCGCACACACACACAGACACACACACACACACCCACATATATTTGCGCGTAATCCGTGGCTGTTTCTCATCTGCAGGCATGGCGGGAGCATACTTACTGCTGCCACGCCCACGCAGCCACAGTTGCCAGCTGCAGCTGTGCCTGGTCCTGGGCTTGGGCTTGGTCTTCTGTGTGTCGCTGCAGCTGGGGAAAGTCACAGCAGGCGCCAGACACGTTCCAGCAGCCAGCGCGTCGCACGCGAAACCGCAGCAGAATGCCGTGCGACTCCGACTCCGACTCCTGCTGCTGCTGCTGCTGCTGCTGCTGCTGGTGCCCAAGCTCAACCCAATCCAAGTGCCATTTTCCATGCGAATTTTTCACACATTCTACACACACACACATGCATCTCTCTTACTCTTCTTTTTTTCTTCTATATGTATTTTTCAACATATAAATTTTCGTTCAAGTTGAAAAGTTTCACATACTCCTGTCACGTAATGCACGCTGCTTGCCGAGCGTGGGCGGCGGCCGGGGCGTGGCATTTGTACTCTCTGGCGTGCGAGTCGCTAATTTATGTCTGACATTAGAATGCAATCATATTCACTTAAAAAATATATCGCAATAAAAGCAGCATAGAAAGATAGAAAGTAAACGTTTGGTCTTTTTATTTCTCTCTCAATTGCAAATTGCAATTCCCAAAGCCGGCGTTGCCAGATCGTGTGCAGCTCAAACGGTTTCTGCACGCGTGCGCACTTGACTTGCTGTGCCTCATCTAAATTACTTTTTGAAATTGAAATTTAAATAGAAATTGCCCTGGGCTCAACTTTCCATATAGCGATATATCGTATGCAAGCCTTGGTTAGTCTCACTCTTAGAGTTTCTGGTTTGGAGAGATTGGCGGGAATATACTACATGCGGATGTATTTATGGATAAACGAATGTGTATGTATGTGTGTAAATATGTACATATACATACATATTATGCCCATTTACCACATATGCATACATATGTATGTAGAGATTATATCACTCTACCCCTACAGTCTATATCCCAAATTCTAGACATATACTATTCATTAATTATCTAATGGACTCTACTTAGATTTTTGTAACAAAAAAAAGCCATATTTGATCCACTAAATAAACCAAGCTCTACAAACACCGGGTGTATCACGTAATCCTGCCGCCTTTGTACTGCACGCCAACAACGTCTCAACAAATCAGAATACACGATTCGACAGCGCATTAAGCACAAGTCTGTTGATAACGTGGCTCCGTCTCTATGTGCACACACACATAGCACCCGTCCGCCCGTCCGCCCAACCGGCCATCTATGTATGTAAATGGGCGTGTCGCATTGTAAGCCCGGCCGGGCAACTGACCCGTGACATGTGTCGAGGGGCGGCCGCCCCCCTCCCTGCCACATCATTGGGAGCATAAGCCGCAAAAAGGATTTTCGACAGGGGCTGCAAAATGTGAAAACCAAAGAATTATTGCCACTACGTCCCTGACCCGCATGGCCAACAGTCTGTGCATCACTCTGCTCCCCCCTTGCTCTCTCTCTCGCTCGCTCGCTTGCTCGCTCACTCACTCATTGTCGCATAATCCCAGGCAACGTGACCCAGCTGACAGTTTACAATTTTGCAGCAAAGGCTGCCCCCATCGCCCCCCTTTTTTCGTGAGCTCTTCTAGCGCACCCCCTCCGGCGCACCGCCCCCGCACATACCACTGGAGGACGCCCCAGCGCTGGGAGGTGTTTGGTTAAGCACATAATTAATACGAAATTTGATTGCCTTTGCCGCGATGGGACAACACGGGCCTGGCCCAGGATGTAACCTATAAAAGAGATTGCCATTCGAGCGAGCATGTGTGTGTGCGCGTGTGTGTACGTGTGTGTGTGTACGTGTGTGCGTGTGTTGGGAAAAGTGAAAGTCAAATTAAAGCAAACTCTGCTGTTGCTGTTGGCATTACCGCTGCTGTGGTTCGCCGCTTAAACGCTTGCGGTTTAATTAATCGACTCATAGTTGATGCCGAGGCGGTTGCACTGAGCACGGCTACTATCTCAGGCATTTGAGTACACTGCTCTCAGAGAAGCTAAAGGCAGTTGACTGTTTGCTGGATTGATGCTGCTTAAACTGATTGTCGAATGTGAGCAATGGACATATCTGGCGGTTCTAGTCGAGCCTAGGTGAAAAATACTTCAGTAGTCATTCAAGGTAATGCTTAGTAGTAGACTGAGCACTGAAGCTATTCGAACTGCACTGGATTGACTTCAGTCTGCTCAACTGCTTAAGTCTCGAATTCACTTGCCAAACCTAAAAGGCAGCACATCAGTTTCCTAGCTCTTAGTTTCCAGCTCTCGCTCTTGTGCTTTCTATATCAATCAGTGAGTCAGTCAAGCGCATAGTTTACTCAAGGAATCAGCTGGTCAATCAGCAAAGAAGCAAGTCAGTCAATCAGTCTGTTTGCTGGTCAATCAGAAAATCCAAGTATATCAATACGTGAGTCAAGTCATCTGAATAACCACCATCAATCAGTTAGGTAAAGTACGTCAATCAATGCGTCTAGCGGTCAGTGGTAAAGCAAGTCAATCAATCAATTTTTTAAGTAGCAATCTATATATATTTGCCAATCAGTCATCGAGTCAGCCAGTCCTTCAATCAAGAAGTTAAAAAATACATCACGATATATCAATTAGTGATGAATTCGACATTAATGTAAATTAGTTAATAATACATACTTTCAGTCAATCAAGATATTATTTAGTTAAGTATATGTAGATTAAAAGTTGTGTCAGTCAGTCAATCAGACTGATGTTACAAGCTACTATATGCATACCATGTATACCATGTATACATATTCATACATAAATAAGAGCTATGTCAGTCAATCAGTGCTACAATCAGGTCAACAACTACATCAATATATCAGTCCAACAGATAATACTTAAATATAAGCAGATAAAATAAACAATGCCAATCACTTGATTGGTCAGTCAATCAACCAAGCGGTAGCTCAATTATACTAGTGAACCTGTAGAGACTTTCATTCCACATAAACAAACATTCGCGTTTATTTATGCAGCGCATCTCGCAGTCGATCATCGCCCACGCTCGGCCGTCCGCTCGCTCATTTCGCCTGACTTCCTGTCGCTGGGGTTAATTTGTTCCTTTCGTTTGGGGCTTTTCGGGCTGATGGCTGCCTTCAAATGGTTGCGCTGCCGGCTTTTTAATGTATGTATATCCATGGCCAGGAGTAGTAGACAGCCGCTGTGGCGCCAGCGGCTGTCTCCAGCTCTGCCTGTCAGCAAACAAACGAAAAAAAAAAAAAA